CTGGTATCGACAATCAAGGGTATTTCCCTGTCCCCAGACGACCTGCTTGTCAGTTTTGATGTAGTTTCCTTATTCAACAAAGTTCCTGTACCTGACACCATCGCAATCATTGAAGACTTGGTTCATCAAGGACTAAACACTGAGGTACCCCCCCTGGTGAGACACTGCTTAACCAATACATACTTCACTTGGAATGGAACTTTCTACAAACAAACTGAGGGCACCCCAATGGGCTCCCCCCTAAATCCGGTTACAGCCAACATTTTCATGGAGAAATTTGAGACTGACGCCATCCAGACTGCCACTCTGCGCCCAACCTTATGGAAGAGGTACGTGGATGACACTTTTGTCATCTGGCCACATGGCCGGCCTGCTCTAGACCAATTCCTCGACCACATCAATTCCATACACCCAGCCATCAAATTTACCATGGATGTCGAAAAAGATGGCAAGCTACCTTTTTTGGATGTCCTAATAAAAAAGAGACCTGATGGTTCAATGAGCCACTCTGTCTACAGGAAAGCTACCCATACGGATGCTTATCTGAAACCGGATTCTCACCACCATCCATCACAGAAGAATTCTCTCATCAAGACTCTGCACCATAGAGCCCAATGCATATTCGACCAGGAACACATAGGCAGTGAACTCAAGCACGTACACCAACCTCTTAAGGCTAATGGTTACTCCGACTATATAATCCGCAAAGCTATCACTCAAACCATGAAGAAGGACCCTCTTGAGGAGCCTTTCAAAACCATCACTTTACCCTACATTGTGGGGATCACAAAATATATCTCCAAAATCTTGAATAAACACAAGATCCATGTCCGTTTCAACACATTACATAAAATCCGTGATCTGGTTCCGTCTGTAAATGATGTGATTCCGGACATACAGTACCCTGGCGTCTACAAACTAAGTTGCCTCTGTGGCAGTAGTTACATTGGAGAAGCCAAACGACATGTCTCGGACCGCATTCGTGAACACAAAGCAGACCTAAAACACGGTAGGACCAACACCTCAGCCGTGGCAGATCACTGTTATAATTCAGTAGGCTCACATGACATTGACTTCTCCAAGACAGAGGTTCTTTGCAAGCCATCTGGCTACCATGAGAGATTTGTTCATGAGGCTATCCATCCACATATACAAACACAGAGACAATTTCAACCGAGAAGATAGATTCTGGCTTAGCAATCATTGGAAGGATTTGATAAACCATTTTGCGTCTTAATTGATTGTTCACGCTTACATTGGCTTTCAGACAGCATACATTAATTTTTCGTCTCCCCCCTCCTCTTTTCCGAACATAGATGGACTCGTCCATCTAAATAAACTGTCAAATCGCTATCCGTGGTGCTAACGTTTAAAAATAAATAATTACAAACCGCCACTTCTTTCAAATGTTCTTGCCGTTGGTTTTCACACCTGATGATGACTGCTTGTGTTGCAGTCGAAACGTCGTGAGAATTTTATTGTTTTATATATATTTTATTGTTTTATTGTTTCCCTTCAATGTGACTTTACCGAAAGAACCAAGAATATGAACACTACTTGTGTTATAAACCAAACATTAAGCATGTTTGTCCTTCACATAACTGATACTTGTTCCTTTCTGTTCACAGGCAGGCGTAGAGCACAAAATTGACCTTCGAATAAAGCCTGCCAGTGCGACATTGGGTAAGTATTACAATTTGTAAGACATTTTCTGCAATGCACTGTTGTGTAAGCATGATTAAAATTGGAAGTCTCACTGCACATTGAACACGTAGAATAATAAAGAGCACAACACTGGACTTTGAATCCAGAGTTTGCCAGTTTGACCATCAGTAAATAAATGGCACAACGTTTGAATCCTCCCCCCACGTCTGTGCAACAACCAATAGTATAGATGTATACACGAGCCAATCGGATGGTCATGTATGTTGAGATAAAGTGTGGGTACTTCCAACTCCTTTGAAGATGTCTGGCCAGTCTCGAAGAGTTGGCAAAAAAGTACTCTCTAGTGCAGTGGTTCTTAACCTGGGGGTGTATGCACCCTCTTTGGGAGCGAGATGCCCTTTCTGAGAACCAAAGGGGGGTGCGGGCTGCAGTCAACGTGAAGAACCACTGCCCTGGTGGGTTTCTTTAGAGCTTGCTGGAGTGGATGTCCTCCTGTCAGCAGTGATGTGAACAAGCAATCGCACGGCTGCACTTTGAAGATTGTAGGTCCTGAAAAGTGCATCTGCCCATGAATTGCTCGTGATTTCTTGTTTTATTTACCGTCATGGACAGATGACCTCCTTGCTGCTGGAGAGGAAGGAACTTACGACTTCGCATTTATTGATGCGGACAAAGAAGGCTACGTTAGCTATTATGAAAAATGCCTGCGCCTGATAAGAAAGGGTGGCATTGTTGCCATTGACAATGTAAGTATCGACCTAGTTACGAAAAGTAAAATCCATAATGTGCTGCTTTAAAATTTACTCACGAGTTGATATTAAGAAAAAATGTATGCAAGTAAAGCAATACCATTATGAGCTAATAGCACATCAAATCAAGGTAGCACACCAAACTATCAGTATTTTTTGCTGGGATACTTTTAATACATAGAAAATATTCTCAGCGTAATGAATGTGTCAACTAACACAGGGGACTTAGCTAGACTCAACACCGCCATAGCAATGTGCACCTTCCACCACTGACTGGTTCAGAGAGAGCTATGAATGGATAATGAGTACTGCCTCATAACTAATTTGAATAGGATAATAACTGTTTCTATTTGGCCGCCCAATACAGCAGTCTCAGCCTTGGTGTTAATGTTGAATACGAAATTGTCAATGTGATATATTGACAATATCGGGACGGTAAAACGATGTCGACGGACGCTTCGGTCATTTTTGTCACGCATGATGTGAACATGCCAGGATGAGGATTCAGTGTGTGAGGCAGCCGCAGAAAGGCTGGGAACGGCACCCCCACTGATGATGTGCGCTTGGTCTGTATGCACAGGTGATCTGGGGAGGGTCTGTGCTGAACCCACGAAAAGATGATGAAGAAACCATGTCGATCTGTCGTCTCAATGACAAGTTGAAGGATGACCAGCGTGTGGACATCAGCATGCTCACCATTGGAGATGGGCTGACTCTGGCCTTCAAGCGTTAACCTAGACAATGTTTTTGTGCTATGGGGAAAAAAGTCAGCTTTTTCAGTGTGAAACTTTTTTTCCAGGAGACTATAACTCATATCGACAGACACGCAGACGGATGGAGCTGATTAATTAACTGGGTTCAACCTTCATTGGAAAATGTTAAAATGAAATCATATTAACGTAACATGACCTCATTTATTGACAAAAAAAACAATGCCGTCTCATTGACTGGTAATATCACAAATTACCTCTCCTTTTGTGCCCACAACATTTCTGAAAACTGGTCTCCTGAAATGTGGTTTTAAGGCACAAGTGACTAATTGTTATATTGAAACATCACCTTACCAATCCCAAAATTTGTTGTTAAATGTTTCAACTAAATGTAGGTTTTTTTATTTTACAGTAAAGTTAATCTGCAGAGAACTTTCTCAACAATGCAAATGGAAATCGTTTTTACTAGATACGTATGAAAATATAAATCCCTTTTTGGTATCATTACATTTTAAACGTTCTTCAAATGTGTCTGCAACAATGACCTGTTACAGTGAGAATCGTTATGATGTTGCTGTGGTGCTATTGTGGAGAAAGTTTTTCGATAATTCATACCTGTGAACACAAATAATTTCAGCATTAGTATATCTATCCAAATGGTTAAGGTGTTGATTTTGAGATCAATGTTAATGAGGCTTTAATGTTAGTTTATATATGACGAATTTTGAAAATCTGATCATTGAAAAATGTGTAATGACGTATTAACATTGCAATTAAGTGTTTCCCTTTTAATTGTTTAATTAAATCAATTAACTGCGCACAATGTTTATGGAATATGTATGCGGGTGATTTTTTTATATAATTCTTTGCAAACTCGCTGAAAGTTGTCTTGGTGTTGCCCATAATGTTGCAGGCAGTTGTAATAGTGTAGTCAATCATATACCGTACAAATATAAACAATGCAGTCATCAGGTCTAAAACAAAGCACATCTTTAATGAAAATACTAAAGAGGCTTGTGTATTTTTAACAAATTTAAATCTGCTTACATTCAACATAAATGCAATAATACATGGCATGTACGTGTATTGGCAGTCATGTTGATCATCGGGGTTGTTTGACGCGACATGATGCTGGTAAATAATTGCAGGTTGAAGGGAGCACATGTTATTTGTCAACAAATACCATCAATTGTAACTTCTGAATCAATTGTATTTCTTGTTAAACATTGCATTATCCTTTAAACATGAATATATTACATCTAAACAAACTACAGCACTTCCGTCATCACATCTCACAGAGACGCACGTTATAACCTCGGCAATGGGGGGATCAAGGTGGTCGGAAATGGTGCTGTCCACACCACCGTGCACTGTTTCAGCCTCGAATAGCTCGCCAACAACACTTGCCCCAACAGTCTGTTAAACGCTATGGGAGAACATTCTTCTGATTAGTCGAGTACTGATTATCGGTAATCGATTACTTTAATGATCCCAGATATAGTCCAGTGCAAGCTACTTATTTTACATTGAGTTGTCTGATGCGGGACCCACACGGGCGATCGACTGCGTTACAAAATCGCTTGACATTGCGCAACCAATTGCCTGCAACTGCTTTGTCCACATCTGAGCGAGTGGTCGCGCAACGAGGAAATGAACAGGCATTTTGGGATTGCAACGACCAAGCTTAATCTGTGAATGTGCGCGTGACGGAATTACGCGACTACAAATTGCTGAGCAGATATCTTTTGAAAGCATCGTCTTCCCACTACCGGGCAACCGGCTGCACAACTGCTCGCAAACTGGTCGTCGAGAGAGAGGTCCACGCACATTCGATTCGGGTTGTACACAGCCGAGTTGCGCAGGTGTGGACCCGACCTCAGAGACGACAGCTGATCGCCCCGCGATGAGAGGACGGCAGTGCTCCGTTACCTCGGTCGCCTCCACTTGACCTCGCGATTGTGGTGGCCGCCGGCCGCACGCCCTCGTGCCCCCCAAAGTCTGGCGCAGGGCCCCCAGCCGTCACTGCGCCGTCGACGCCGCCCTGCTGCCTCTCGACCCCGTAGCGTTCGTCGTTCTGATCGTTGGTCGCCGTTTCGTCCGTGGCGGAGTCTGCGTTCGCTCGGAGGAGGCAGCAGAAGTACCTCTTGAAGCCGCGTCTGAACTGCGTGTTGAGGACCCCGTACAAGACCGGGTTTATGGCCGAGTTTGTGAGCGTGACGGTGGACACCCAGAGGAATGCTCTGGAGGACAGAAAGGGCTTCCAGTTGTAAACGTTCACGAGTTCTCGGTCTGCTTCGATGAGCCACAGCATGATGTAGATCGGGACCCACATGATGTACAGTGAGATCACCAGAATTATCAGCATCTTGACGAGGCGGAATTCTTTAAAGGAAATTCTGATGCCACCGTTAAGCCGAGCAGGCTCCACGTTCTGGCGAACACGGATCCTGCTGTCCCTTGCCACCTGATAAAGAAAGCACAACTTACATTTACGAATGAAACGCGGAAAACGCGTTCACTAAACAAAAGTAAACTACGTTTCCTTATGGGGTCATACACGGAAGACCCAGCACCAGCTCAATTATTACGTGGCATTGGGCATGGCCACCGATTAAACTAAAAACTATATTTTACCAGATAATGCCCACTGAGCGATATATCTCTTTTTACAGAAGCGACCAGGCCACAAATATGGCTTATGTTGCGTTTTATAGCAGCCAAATACCCTAAACGCACGTTGTTTCTAAATGTGGAGGAAAAATCCGGAGGACCCGGAGAAAAATCCACGCGACCACAGGGAGAGACGCACGCAAACTCCAATATAAACAGGTGTCAGGGCGAGATCATTAACATCTCGCCACCGCTGTGCCACAATTAAACATAGATCGCTAGGTTCGTAGTGGAATTCGATCATCATTGTGCCACTGACACCACTACATAATAGTTTTCACCCATTTTGAGGCATCTTATCTGAAAAGGTCAAGTTCCAGCACCGGCATTAAAATGCTTGCCCATTGTTTGAACTGCCGCACCAGGTTTGCCAACCAATTACATCATGGCAATACACCTCGAAATGTTGATGTCAACAATCGCTCATGCTGTAAGAATAACCTGCCTTGTAAATCCTTCTGTAATTCAACGTGAGGACTGTGGAAGGCACAACCAGCATGCCCAAGAAAATCACCACCAGCCACGACCACGATGTGCCCCTTGTTGGCCACAGGATGGTACAAATGTGCACCTCCTAAAGAAAGAGGGCACAAGACAGCAAGTGTCCATTAAATATCCCGCACCAGGATGTTGTAATGATACAGAGTGATACATGTATAGCTAACCCACGAAAATAACATGGTAAAGTTACGAAGGAAATCAGCATTTTATTGCATGTCTCCCACAAACCTCAGTACTGTACAGTGTACACTTCTGAGATATTTGAACACTCTCTTTAGGATATTAAGCAATTGAACACGATTAAAGCACCCGTTGAAAGGTCAAAGGTTCGTTCTAATTGAGTGCAGTATCTATACATGGATCACCCTGGACTATATCTTCCATGCAATGCGATGAAATGTGGCATTCATATTCATGTAATGGACACCAACATACAGTGCAACACGTGGAGGTGGAGATGTGGTGGGGCATGTTTTGTAAATTCTTGACTGGTGTAACCGGGGGGCGGAATAATATTAGCAGTCGAGAAGGTGACACAGGTGTACCCGTAGAGCCCTCTGTCAGTCTATTGTTGGATTGTGGCCTCCCCACGCCATGACGTTATCTTGGGAGCAGTTGCACCAAACTTCACCACGCTGGTCAGCGCAGCATGGTGAAGGTGGAAGAGCGCAAAAGTACGATACAAAAGTGCATTTAAATCTTGACTTAAAGCTTTCGTGACTGCAGGAATTCACATTCGTTGGGTCTTTTGGTAAAGTCACATACGTAGATAGATTCAAAAGAAAATCAACAAAAAATAAAAAAAAAACTGATGACGACCGCTTGTGTTGCGATTGAAACGTAGTTTTTTTTTAGTAATTTTTTGTTATTTTCTTTGAACCTACAGTGAGGAAAAAAAGTATTTGATCCCCTGCTGATTTTGTACGTTTGCCCACTGACAAAGACATGATCAGTCTATAATTTTAATGGTAGGTTTATTTGAACAGTGAGAGACAGAATAACAACAACAAAATCCAGAAAAACGCATGTCAAAAATGTTATAAATTGATTTGCATTTTAATGAGGGAAATAAGTATTTGACCCCCTCTCAATCAGAAAGATTTCTGGCTCCCAGGTGTCTTTTATACAGGTAACAAGCTGAGATTAGGAGCACTCCCTTTAAGAGTGTGCTCCTAATCTCAGCTCGTTACCTGTATAAAAGACACCTGTCCACAGAAGCAATCAATCAGATTCCAAACTCTCCACCATGACCAAGACCAAAGAGCTCTCCAAGGATGTCAGCGACAAGATTGTAGACCTACACAAGGCTGGAATGGGCTACAAGACCATTGCCAAGCAGCTTGGTGAGAAGGTGACAACAGTTGGTGCGATTATTCGCAAATGGAAGAAACACAAAAGAACTGTAAATCTCCCTCGGCCTGAGGCTCCATGCAAGATCTCACCTTGTGGAGTTGCAATGATCATGAGAACGGTGAGGAATCAGCCTAGAACTACACGGGAGGATATTGTCAATGATCTCAATGCAGCTGGGACCATAGTCACCAAGAAAACAATTGGTAACACACTACGCCGTGAAGGACTGAAATCCTGCAGCGCCCGCAAGGTCCCCCTGCTCAAGAAAGCACATATACATGGCCGTCTGAAGTTTGCCAATGAACATCTGAATGATTCAGAGGACAACTGGGTGAAAGTGTTGTGGTCAGATGAGACCAAAATGGAGCTCTTTAGCATCAACTCAACTCGCCGTGTTTGGAGGAGGAGGAATGCTGCCTGTGACCCCAAGAACACCATCCCCACCGTCAAACATGGAGGTGGAAACATTATGCTTTGGGGGTGTTTTTTTGCTAAGGGGACAGGACAACTTCACCGCATTAAAGGGACGATGGACGGGGCCATGTACCGTCAAATCTTGGGTGAGAACCTCCTTCCCTCAGCCAGGGCATTGAAAATGGGTCGTGGATGGGTTTTCCAGCATGACAATGACCCAAAACACACGGCCAAGGCAACAAAGGAGTGGCTCAAGAAGAAGCACATTAAAGTCCTGGAGTGGCCTAGCCAGTCTCCAGACCTTAATCCCATAGAAAATCTGTGGAGGGAGCTGAAGGTTCGAGTTGCCAAACGTCAGCCTCGAAACCTTAATGACTTGGAGAAGATCTGCAAAGAGGAGTGGGACAAAATCCCTCCTGAGATGTGTGCAAACCTGGTGGCCAACTACAAGAAACGTCTGACCTCTGTGATTGCCAATAAGGGTTTTGCCACCAAGTCCTAAGTCATGTTTTGCAGAGGGGTCAAATACTTATTTCCCTCATTAAAATGCAAATCAATTTATAACATTTTTGACATGCGTTTTTCTGGATTTTTTTGTTGTTATTCTGTCTCTCACTGTTCAAATAAACCTACCATTAAAATTATAGATTGATCATTTCTTTGTCAGTGGGCAAACGTACAAAATCAGCAGGGGATCAAATACTTTTTTCCCTCACTGTATATACGTGACTTTACCGAAAGACCCCCAACAAAAGTGCATTTTCCTGCACTTTCACCTGCTCACCAGCATGTAGCAGAGTCGCCTTGCCACCTGTGACCAACCTGGCAATGCATGATGGTCACCCATCCAATTACTTATCCCGGCTCAACCCGAGCACTGCTTCGCTTGTGAGATGTCGTGGCAATGGGTGCATTCTGGTCATAGGTAAATGAGGTATCCACAATGTGTTGCGCAATGAAGTGCCATCGTCCGAAACGTTGCCTAATTGTACGCTTTTCTTTTAAGGCCACAGTGTTATTGAAAATGTCGATTTTGTTCATACTCCGGGTACCAATGGCAACGCAGCATCACTTAATAATGTGTTTAATTCATGCAAATGATGTGCATAAATATAAACTGCGACAGGTTGACATCCAGGGAAAGCAAGTGATGAGCATTATACTGTACCTTCCTTACATTTACTGCTTTCATAAACGAGAGCGTTCTTTACTCACCTGTCCTGAACACACTTTTACTATTTACCCCTGGGAAATTGTCAACCTGCCGCCCATCGCCTCAAGCCTACTGTTCATAATTCACTAAACTCGCCTCAGGTGCCAAGGCTTTGTTTTTTTTCTGAATTTAGGTCAACATCCTCCCAATCAGTGAGTTTTTCATTTTAAATGCGTGAACACGACAACACAACGAGCACACATGGCTCTGCAACGTGCCTAAAACATGCAAACACTGAAAACTTGGGTAGATGGCATTCTTACTTGTCAGCATTGTTCCCTGAAAAGCGCCATCAATTGTAAACGTCCTTGTTTAATGAGCTGTGCGAGTGGAATATCACTTGCGACTTGTGTTGTTTTGCCATGCACTGCGTTTTAAGCATTTAACTAAAGTTGAAAAACGTAATGCATTACATTCGTCCATCTGTCTGCGTGTATGTCAACCTGTAACGAGGGAGGCATGTTAACTCGCGTGAGGATGATCTCGTACGAATACGCTTGTATTATAGAGTTGAGTGGCTATTCAGGTCTCACCCGATTGAAAATCGCACAAATTCATCAAAGGGGTCTAAAAAAATATGGAACCTCTTGAACCAACGTTGGACCAGTGTTGGTCCAACGGTTCCAACCACATACCTACATTGATTGGTTCTACGTTGCATGTTTATTGGAGAGTTAAAAACATGGGGACACAAACCAGAGTAAAACGGACTCTTGGCAATAATGCAAACTCATTTTTGCCCTTACAACTGTCTATCCGCTTCCATATGCCTGTTGCTTTAACACTTCTTATGACAAATGCATGTTAGAAAACATTACGGAATCCATGCATTTTTAACACGCAAAAGCCTCGTCTTATTTTTTATCAGTGTGCTCGAGCCACGTGAAACGGGTTCAGAAATGCTCGGGTCGTGCAGCGTGCAACCACAAACTCAATGTTTGTATCTCTAAACATGGAAAGGTGCACGTAACCACCTGTAGATACACAGTGAGGGAAAACAGTATTTGATCCCCTGCTGATTTTGTACGTTTGCCCACTGACAAATAAATGATCAGTCTATAATTTGAATGGTAGGTTTATTTGAACAGTGAGAGACAGAATAACAAAAAAATAATCCAGAAAAACGCATGTCAAAAATGTTATACATTGATTTGCATTTTAATGAGGGAAATAAGTATTTGACCCCTCTGCAAAACATGACTTAGTACTTGGTGGCAAAACTCTTGTTGGCAATCACAGAGGTCAGACGTTTCTTGTAGTTGGCCACCAGGTTTGCACACATCTCAGGAGGGATTTTGTCCCACTCCTCTTTGCAGATTTTCTCCAAGTCATTAAGGTTTCGAGGCTGACGTTTGGCAACTCGAACCTACAGCTCCCTCCACAGATTTTCTATGGGATTAAGGTCTGGAGACTGGCTAGGCCACTCCAGGAACTTAATGTGCTTCTTCTTGAGCCACTCCTTTGTTGCCTTGGCCGTGTGTTTTGGGTCATTGTCATGCTGGAATACCCATCCACAACCCATTTTCAATGCCCTGGCTGAGGGAAGGAGGTTCTCACCCAAGATTTGACGATACATGGCCCCGTCCATCGTCCCTTTGATGCGGTGAAGTTGTCCTGTCCCCTTAGCAGAAAAACACTCCCAAAGCATAATGTTTTCACCTCCATGTTTGACGGTGGGGATGGTGTTATTGGGGTCATAGGCAGCATTCCTCCTCCTCCAAACACGGCGAGTTGAGTTGATGCCAAAGAGCCCCATTTTGGTCTCATCTGACCACAACACTTTCACCCAGTTATCCTCTGAATCATTCAGATGTTCATTGGCAAACTTCAGACGGGCATGTATATGTGCTTTCTTGAGCAGGGGGACCTTGTGGGCGCTGCAGGATTTTAGTCCTTCACGGCGTAGTGTGTTACCAATTGTTTTCTTGGTGACTATGGTCCCAGCTGCCTTGAGATCATTGACAAGATCCTCCCGTGTAGTTCTGGGCTGATTCCTCACCGTTCTCATGATCATTGCAACTCCACGAGGTGAGATCTTGCATGGAGCCCCAGGCCGAGGGAGATTGACAGTTCTTTTGTGTTTCTTCCATTTGCGAATAATCGCAACTAACTGTTGTCACCTTCTCACCAAGCTGCTTGTCATTGGTCTTGTAGCCCATTCCTGCCTTGTGTAGGTCTACAATCTTGTCCCTGACATCCTCGGAGAGCTCTTTGGTCTTGGCCATAGTGGAGAGTTTGGAATCTGATTGATTGATTGCTTCTGTGGACAGGTGTTTTTAATACAGGTAACAAGCTGAGATTAGGATCACTCCCTTTAAGAGTGTGCGCCTAATCTCAGCTCGTTACCTGTATAAAAGACACCTGGGAGCCACAAATCTTTCTGATTGAGAGGGGGTCAAATACATATTTCCCTCATTAAAATGCAAATCAATTTATAACATTTTTGACATGCGTTTTTCTGGATTTTTTTGTTGTTATTCTGTCTCTCACTTCAAAAAAACCTACCATTAAAATTATAGACTGATCATTTCTCTGTCAGTGGGCAAACGTACAAAATCAGCAGGGGATCAAATACTTTTTTTCCCTCACTGTAATGTCCAGTACTATAGTTCGCGAGGACTTGGGAAGTGTATTGACGGTGGCGAGATGTTATCTATCTCTCCTTGTATACAGGAGGTCGTGGGCTCGATCCTGACACCTGTATATTTGGAATTTGCATGTTCTCCCCGTGGCCGAGTCGATTGTCTCTGTGTCTTCCAGTCTTTGCCTCCGCATTCAGAAACAACACGTGTTTAGAGTCTTTGGCTGCTATAAATTTCCACACGATAAGCCACTCGGTCATTCGTGGCCAGGTCGCTTCTGAAAAAGAGCGATATGCGGGCCTTCCTTTGTAAAATAAAATAAAATCGTGTATTGTCAAAAGCCTTTTTTGGACTTATAATACGTGGGTGGGTAGGTAGGTGGGTGGGTGGGGGGGTCTCACCTCGCCAGAGAAGGTGAAGGTCTTCACTTGGAAATAGATGCAGAGAGGCAATGCGCCCAGACACGACAGCATCCAGGTAACGCAGATGGAGAGAAACAGCTGACTTCGGGTGCGGATGGCTCTCACGTGCGGGGGCAGGATGTGACGAGCTCTGTCCAAGCTGATGAGCGCCATTGTCAAGACTGAGCAGAAGCCACTGCATCATGCCACACGACGAGGGGCGAGGTCACATCCCCCCGTAATATCTCGCATTGTAAGTCGCGTTTTTCACACCCGTATTTTAAACCAAAAGTGGTGGTGGGGGGGGGGGGAGCTGTCCATAAATGACGTCACGCGATTTTGGACTGCACTCTGATATTGTAGGAGCGCCAACCGGCATTTCAGAATCATCTTCCAAACGACTGCTCTCCCCATTTTAAAAGCAAAGCATTCATAATCATCAAGATGTCTGTCCATCACAAAACCGTGTTCTCCCGAATGACACAATATATTTATTTTATGCTTTTCAAAAACACCGCAAAGGTTTGGGGTGCGTCTTATTTTTCGGAGCGTCTTACGATGCAGAGAATGCAGTGTATATAGCTCATATAATGCAATGGACATTTCCATTCGGCGTGTCAAGATCCATCGACCGGTATTGATTAAGGTGGCTGCGTGACCTCGAATAGCGTGTACAGTGAGGGAAAAAAGTATTCGATCCCCGGCTGATTTTGTACGTTTGCCCACTGACAAAGAAATGATCAGTCTATAATTTTAATGGTAGGTTTATTTGAAGAGTGGGAGACAGAATAACAACAAAATCCAGAAAAACGCATGTCAAAAATGTTATAAATTGATTTGCATTTTAATGAGGGAAATAAGTATTTGACCCCCTCTCAATCAGAAAGATTTCTGGCTCCCAGGTGTCTTTTATACAGGTAACGAGCTGAGATTAGGCGCACACTCTTAAAGGGAGTGATCCTAATCTCAGCTTGTTACCTGTATAAGAGACACCTGTCCACAGAAGCAATCAATCAATCAGATTCCAAACTCTCCACCATGGCCAAGACCAAAGAGCTCTCCAAGGATGTCAGGGACAAGATTGTAGACCTACACAAGGCTAGAATGGGCTACAAGACCATTGCCAAGCAGCTTGGTGAGAAGGTGACAACAGTTGGTGCGATTATTCGCAAATGGAAGAAACACAAAAGAACTGTCAATCTCCCTCGGCCTGGGGCTCCATGCAAGATCTCACCTCGTGGAGTTGCAATGATCATGAGAATGGTGAGGAATCAGCCCAGAACTACACGGGAGGATCTTGTCAATGATCTCAAGGCAGCTGGGACCATAGTCACCAAGAAAACAATTGGTAACACACTACGCCGTGAAGGACTGAAATCCTGCAGCGCCCGCAAGGCCCCCCCCCGCTCAAGAAAGCACATATACATGCCCGTCTGAAGTTTGCCAATGAACATCTGAATGATTCAGAGGACAACTGGGTGAAAATGTTGTGGTCAGATGAGACCAAAATGGAGCTCTTTGGCATCAACTCAACTCGCCGTGTTTGGAGGAGTAGGAATGCTGCCTATGACCCCAAGAACACCATCCCCACCGTCAAACATGGAGGTGGAAACATTATGCTTTGGGGGTGATTTTCTGCTAAGGGGACAGAACAACTTCACCGCATCAAAGGGACGATGGACGGGGCCATGTGCCGTCAAATCTTGGGTGAGAACCTCCTTCCCCCAGCCAGGGCATTGAAAATGGGTCGTGGATAGGTATTCCAACATGACAATGACCCAAAACACACGGCCAAGGCAACAAAGGAGTGGCTCAAGAAGAAGCACATTAAGGTCTTGGAGTGGCCTAGCTAGTCTCCAGACTTTAATCCCATAGAAAATCTGTGGAGGGAGCTGAAGGTTCGAGTTGCCAAACGTCAGCCTCGAAACCTTAATGACTTGGAGAAGATCTGCAAACAGGAGTGGGACAAAATCCCTCCTGAGATGTGTGCAAACCTGGTGGCCAACTACAAGAAACGTCTGACCTCTGTGATTGCCAACAAGAGTTTTGCCACCAAGTACTAAGTCACGTTTTGCAGAGGGGTCAAATACTTATTTCCCTCATTAAAATGCAAATCAATTTATAACATTTTGGACATGCGTTTTTCTGGATTTTTGTTGTTGTTATTCTGTCTCTCACTGTTCAAATAAACCTACCATTAAAATTATAGACTGATCATTTATTTGTCAGTGGGCAAACGTACAAAATCAGCAGGGGATCAAATACTTTTTTCCCTCACTGTACTTGTACAAGAATCGATTTTTGTTAAAGTTCCAATGTTGCCTGCAGCCGCGAGAGGACGCTTTATTCCAAAGCAATGGATACTTGAATATTGACAGCGAAAGGTTAATGTTTTACACTCCTAATATGCGTGTTCGTATACGTTTTGTACGTGTTAAATTACGTGTTTAAGTGTGATCATACATATATGAACGGTGCATTATATTCTGATATTCTATCTGCTTTTATGAGTGTTTTCTTTTAATAACCTTAATGAATGGAAGCTACAGTATTCTGCATGTATATATATTTTATATATAACACAGTTGCTGAGCACATGCCCAAAGACCCAAAACTTCAAGCGGCCAGCAACAAAGAGCACGCAACTTTCAAAGTTGCAGTTCATAACAGATCACACGTTTCTTGAATTGAGCAAGGTTACACATACGTCCTTAGGAAAGAGACAATGGAAGGCCAATCCAAAGTGGAGCAGTGCAAGGAAAGAACCAGAACGAGAAATGGTGTGACCTGCCAGTGTAGTGGCGGTGGTGGTTAAACACAGTGCGGACGAAACAGGCTCATAGACCGAGTCGTCAGCATGACCTATCTGATGGGTCTTACGTACAAGCTGGGAGAGATTCTTTCTTATATCGTACAACTGATTAGGGCCCATATGATGGCTTCGAACAGTGAGAAGCTGTCGAGAAAGGACGTGTTTTTCAAGGGAGATTTAAACATCCGTAATTAAGGCACGGCGAGGGCAGCCAATTGCTTCATTTTAACACGTAGTCGACGGTAATGAATGATCTAGTGCACACGATGACATGACATTTTATATACACTTCACAGTAAATGGAACACCCTGATTATTATCTGCAGAAATTACCAGCCTGGTGCCTGGGTGTACCATTCACTTCGTGCGGAGTACCTATTCAGTTGAGGGTGTTGATTACATTTATAGGCACGAATACGGTATTCCGCAGGTTATAATCCATGAAAAAAAACGTGCCTCAAACTTGTGCCCAGTATTATTGAAGTTAATACGAATCTAAACCTACGAGAATCCAGTAACACACACACACACACAGCTGCTGCATTATAACAGAGGATAATGTATATTTTAATTTGGAGAATGCGGCATACCACTTAAAAAAAAACACCCCGCATGGCTACAGGATGATCTGTCGCTCCAGGCTATAAGGGTTACACAATTGCAAGGATTATAAAATCGCGTGGTCATTGAGGCTTGGTTACCTGACTGGCTTCCAATCCCTACTGTTCAATCATTATCACATGCATTCAACACAGACGGTCAACACAACATGAGTCCACCCAATTCAGATGTTTTCCCCACCAACAAGACCTGAACACTGCCAATGGGCAACTTGCCCACTAACCTTCACAACATCCTGTGGACAAGCCGGCTGCTCAATTATCAAGTTTGTGGCTAAGAAGCAACATATTTCCCGTTGTAATATCTGGGGTGGATTATCCAGTTCCTACCTCTACCTACATCTATACCTGATGTAATTTAACACAAAGCAGTCATGTTGACTGGCGATCCAGCACTCGCTGATTCATTTCAGTCATTCGCTCACTTGCCATCAGTCGCATTCTTGCCACTCTTTCATCGCTATTATACCATGGTTACTTTTCCCGTGAACTTAAATCCTTCATTCCTCTACTAGACTATCAGGCTGACCTACCACAGAGATAAGTTCAACAGGGAACTAGCAGGACCTACCATAGAAACATATTTAATAGGGACTTTTCAAGACCTACCACAGATACATGTTGACGAGGGTGATCTGGCAAGACCTACCACAGAGACATGTTGGAGAGGGTGATCTTGCAAGACCTACCACAGAGACATGTTGAAGAGGGTGATCTTGCAAGACCTACCACAGAGACATGTTGAAGAGGGTAATCTTGCAAGACCTACCACAGAGACATGTTGAAGAGGGTGATCTTGCAAGACCTACCAGAGAAACATGTTGGAGAGGGTGATCTTGCAAGACCTACCACAGAGACATGTTGAAGAGGGTGATCTTGCAAGACCTACCACAGAGACATGTTGAAGAGGGTGATCTTGCAGAGGCCCTTGCCGAGTATCCACGAACCCGACCACCTGGTGATGACGACGGCGGGTATGTTCAGCGTGAAGACGATGTCCAGAACGGCCAAGTTGGTCACGAGCAGACACGTGGTGGACCTCATGTAGGAGGTCGTGAACACGATCAGGAGCACCGTGACATTGCCCACAAGGCTCGTAATGAAGATGAGCGCCAGGATAGTGGTTTCTGCCGATGCCTCGGCACGCTGATTGTAGGCTCCAAAGGTGGAAAAGAAGGTGAAAAACGATTGGTTTCCGTACGGTTCTGCGAAACCTTCCAGGTATGACACGGAGCCCATTTCTTCTGCCGAGTTTGGAAACCCACGGCGAGTATTGTGAGGCTATACTAGGAGCTTGCCAGCCAAACCAACCAGACAGCTTATATCCGCAACAAATATTAATTTGCACGATTTGGCAAATGTGAAATGGTCGTCAATTGCAGTTGCATTAAATTTGGTTAAAAATTAATCTCGGGTCTGCGAGACAAACGGCAACATTGTTTTTCTCTCTTGTATAAAAATTTACCAACACTTACCAAAAAATAATGTAACCGGCAGACTAGCCTCGAAAAACATGTTCCTTCCAAAGAGTGTCTATCGCCTGTACGTTGCGAAGGCAGAATGTATCAGCTGTCTACTGCAAACGACATGGTTATGCGGCGGACTAGTTTCCAAAGACGGCTTTGAAATTCCCGTCACCGGTGAAAGAAATAATCGCGGCTTGCAGCAGCAGCAGCAGCATTGCCCTGTGCACTAACAAGTAAGCTTTAGGGCCTCTGCTGCTCTGCTAACAGTAACTGGCAGATATATACTTGAGGCAGTGCGCTATACTTAGTATATGGCGTGGCGTCATGTTTGGTCACAGATAACATTAGGCTAAAGCGACTGCTGGGGGTCTTCTGTTGGCACACTTGATTGCCGAGATAACGCGTCGACTGGATAACTTTTTTTTCGCACCGTACGTAGACCAACCGTGCTCATGCTGACCGTGCGTTGGGACCCACGCTGTGACGTTCTGTTCTGTTCGCTGAACCCATGACGCAAAATATGAAGCGTCACGTGAAGTTTCGAAACGAAAATCTCAAATGCAGTTAAAGAATTCACAAACGTATGGCATCTGTATAGTGGGTGCGATTTTGTTGTTGTTGCTGCTGCTGTCTTCACTATAGCGAATTGCTTGGAAATAATTCACAGCCCTTGTCAATCCTCTGCTTGGGAGGTTGTCGGAAATAGAGTTTTCGTCACCATACTTCCCCAAACTGATCACTGCGGCTTAGTGGTGGGGGGAGGGGTTAACCCCGATTATTATATTACTCGCTGCTGATATTAGCCGTGGTTTACGGTAGAATTCAGGACGTTGAGTTCATGGCGCATTGTGCTAATCGCCCTGAGATAAGCGTCATGTTTCTTAGCGTTATAACAATAAAGAGTAGTTGTTACAGTAACTCTAGATTTCACAACGTTATTCGTTTAAATGACCTGCGCACGCGACTGTGCATTGCCATGCGTGTAGAAAAAAATATTGATTTAAAAAACCCGGCCATCCGAGGTCAATTTTCGGCCGCGGTTTACGTCATTGGCGAGTGATATTTGAACCTCTTTTTGCTCCACCCGCTCTCTTTTAACCCTCCACCCTTCACTAACCACAAATGAACAGCGTGGTGAATTATAGCCAAACAACCCCCATAACCCATCAGACACGTCATAAGAATCCCGTGATCCAGCGTTTGATTGAAGTCGAATCCATTTGTATTGTTTTAGTGGCATAACGACAGCAACAGCTTGACGATGATGTATTTAAAAAAAACAACCACTTACGGCTTTTATATCACCGGCCGTCATTAAGAGTTCAAGGGTCAACTGCAGAAGAAGAAAAAAACCCCGAATGTTTTGGAACAATAGTTTGGTAGCCTGAAGGATACCAAATTGTTTCTGTCGTAAAATAATGCGTGGCCGTATGCTGCTTACATATCCCCAACACAGAAACGTCGACATTTAGGGAGATATATTGCACCCATAGACATCGTTTAACTGCGGGCATTCGAGTGTCAATTTACGCGTGAAACGCTCGCCTTGCACAATGCTGCTGGTTATTGTTGCGCGTTCCAATGCCAGAGCCAAGCCCGATAATCCACTTCCAGTGCATCCCAACTGCTCCATTAAGCTTTTTTTTTTAATGCCAGCCCGTGTGCGCATCTATAGTCATTGGATGCGTGCTTTGAATATTGTGTGCCTGCTTAATTTGACATCGCAATCGATGTCTGTTTTTGTAGATAGACTGACCATGGATGAAGAGTGGCTGGGTTGTCATGAAGATATTATTTGATATTGCTTCATAATGACCATTGCAAAAGTGGAGATTGCTTGTAGTGAATTTTCATAAATTTCAGGGTTATAAAGCCAGGTATCTCCAGTTGCTGAGACATCCCGATATATAGGAGCAAATTTACTCTTGCAAAACCTAAGCTTTGAGACTGGATAAGTGTTTGGGTGGGTGACCATAATGTGCCAATTGCAGATTAAATAGGCATTGTGGGCAGTAGAGGGCACTGCAGATAAATTAATTGTTGTTCTGCACACATACCACCTTCAACTCATCCGAAAAAAAAAAACTCAACACATTCGTCAATAACGCTGCCTGATGAGCGTGGGTCACACGTCCCTCGGGATTGCAAAAACGAACTCTGCAGAGACGTTAATCTGACGTTGTTAATATTATCTTAGCTTGTTCTATTTCAGTGCTAAAAATAGACACCTGGATTGTGACGAGTCACGAGACCGGGGTTAAACACCGGGCGTTTAGGTTTGTTGTTTTATATGGCTTACAAAGGTTTTTGAACGCATAAACGTACACATAGGTAAGGGGTGGTATTGTGGGATCACACTTGCGCTATGAATCCGGCCATCTGAGTTTCATACCTGGCCACTGGCGAAAAACGAACGTCAGTGTCGAGTGGAAACTTAACTGGTTCTGAACCTCCCTCCCCACTTCAGCAATCTTACACTGACTAGCGTGGTGAAGTATGGTCAAACCACCCCAATGGTCGACGAGGGAATGGGGACACCTTCATGCAGCATTGGGGAGAGAAAGGTAAGTACATGAAATAATAATCATGAATATAACAATAATTGTTATTGTATATGATAAAACCTTGTGGATACATAAAGGACGCGTTATGCGAGTTGAAGATACTGTCTGTGGTTAAAATTATGTATGAAAACAAACCAACTTCAAACCTATCGCCTATTAAATTGCGATATAGAGTAGTCACACTCAAGCTCGACATTTATGTAATCGGAGAACTCCATCATCATCCATGATCAAGCAATCCACTTCTGGATCAATGCCTTCCCTATCCGTCACCATCTCTCACGATGCTGCGATGCAACTATCCATGCAGAACGTAAACACTACTTGATCTTGATTTGAAGCTTTCGTGACTGCAGTTATCCATCCTCTTTGGTTCTTTCGGTAAAGTCACGTAGGTAGAAAAATAAAAATTAAACATTATTATATATTTTATTTTTCAACGTACGTGACCTTACCGAAAGAACCAAAGAGTATGCACTAATTGATCCTTACGGCGGTACCCCGGGGTACCAAAAAATACAAAATAGGCCGAGGCAATGAAATATTTTATTTCTGGGACACTTTTTTTCCAGAGTAACTCCACGACTTGGGGTACCAATCGACCCGAAATCAGTGCCACACTCCGCAATGTCGAAACGTCAAACGGCATAAAAAAAATCCGCTATCGAAAATTTCAACTTTGAATAGTTGCATCGTGTACAGCTCGTTGAGATGAGTCGATGGCCGCATCGCCGACCATGAACAGACTAAAAATTTCGATTATAAAGCTTTCGTGACTGCAAGGATTCATCTCCTTTGGTTCTTTCGGTAAAGTCACCACGTAGAATGCGAATAAAATAATAAAATAAATAACGCAATAAAATTCTCACGACGTTTCGGCCACAGCACACAAGTGCCCTTCATCACGGACATTGTGCGAGAGCCGGGGTACTATGGTGACCCCGTGGAACCGCCATATGCCCCAATTCGTTGTCTTCTGACATGCCAGCTGTAACCATCACACACGGCGCGTGCTGGGTAATATTATTACTTAAAAAAAACTGAAAGAGTGCGATGAATGCACGCACGTCTCGTCAATGCGTCACCAGAAGGGTGTTGTAATTGATTCAGGAAATGTCGGTCCACATGCAGGTAATAAACCTGTTACCGTATGTGCAAACACGTTGGCATGCGTGGCGACGAGGAGTGGTCGAGGTTGTTTGCAGATGGAAATTTCAGAGGCTGACTACAGGCCAGGCACAAGCGTCCGTGTGTGTGGTACTGCAAATGAACTTGGTGCGAGAAAAACATCCTCGTGTATTTGAATTTAAAGTCTGAAAAAATAGCCCCCAAAAAACATAAGGTTATGTGTAATGTATATATGCCAATGTGTATTGCTATGATTCACAATTCATCAGCTCAGCTGCATGAATACAGATCTGTAGGCTCCCCTTCTTTCAAAGTGAGTTGAGCGACTCGGGATGGAAGATGCATAGATTATTCAATTCCTATTGAAGAATGTATCACGCTTATCAACAGCAGCCATGACCAAGCAACTGCTGGATGAAACCCTCCCCAAGGCAGTTAATTCTGAGCGGTCCTGAAACGCAAAAATCATTGAGATCTAGCACACGACACCTCCACTATCTTAAAATCACAATGTAAACCGCTCAATCAATCCACCTGATGGATGAAGGCCACCCCACGCCATGCCAATCAGTAATGAGGGTTGTTTGTCCATACTTCACCACAATGGTAAATACGGGTTAATGAATGCATGTTGTGTATTGAGGATGGTTGTCCCCGGACCGATTAAAATATGTTATCAGTGGCGGGGAATCTATTCAGATCCCCGATCATTCATAGTGAGTGTGCTAACTCCTGCGCCACTGTTTATATCTCATCATCTTAAATAAGTAATATTTAAAAACACTTTTTTTAAACACGCTTTAATGAAATGTACCGTACGAGTAACGGCAGAACTCCACGACTCCAGGAAGTGGCCCCGAAGCTTGCCACAACGTAAGGGGGCCATGGTCAATTACAGCCAACGTCAGTCGACAGTGGACAATTAGAGCCAAGCCGAAGCATAAGCTATAAAAAAAGATTGCTTAAAAAAATATTTATAATGATAGAATGTAGTATTGTCATCAGTATGACATACGTATACCAAGTTTGCAGCCGATACGACGTTGGGAAGTGGGTTAAAATTGAGTTACGAGATTTGAGGATACAACAGACAGAGTTGAGGATACAACAGACAGAGTGAGTTAAATAAAAGCGTGTCAAGACAAACACGATAGAGCACGTACAGCACTCCGTTTTGTGTTCTCGGAAAATAAAAAAAAACGTGTTTTAGTCCTATGAGATTTCCAGACCAATAAGCAAGCGAACTCTGGACCGGTTTTCAACATTCTGGGTCTCATCAGTAGAGTCGGGCATGATATACAAACGCTGCTGCTGGATTGGCAGATGTTATTAGCAAGGGTACTTCAGATAATTGCCACAAATGAACCAAAATACCTCGCCGCTGATCTCGTCAAGGAGTAGAAACCATCATGCACACTCCCGGTCATCCTCGACAGAGGTTTTTGGCTCAGCCATCGAACTAAAACGGTGACTGCATCGCGCGCTTTCAAAAGCGCTTCTGCGGCCGTCTGGAACGCTCTTCTTTCCTATATTAGGAAGCCACTGGAGCTATGCGCTTTTAAATTCAGATTTTAAAAAAAAACTAATTTCTTTAGAACTGATATTCATGTTTAGTTTGTTGTCATTCCCCCGCACCTCCGATCCGCACGGTCGGCTTCGTAAGAGGTTCAACATACAAATGAAATAGTTTTTTTGGGGTTATTTTCTTTGAACCTATTTACGTGACTTTACCGAAAGCCACAAAGAAAAGAATATGAATTCCTGCAGTCACGAAAGCTTTAAGTCAAGATTTGGACCCAATACCCTACGGTTGATGCACAACAGCGGAGATCTGCATGGCTATACCACTGTATATGCGTGGCATCAAGGCTGTAGCCATGGAGTCAACATTGGGGGGGACCAAATCTTCCAGGTGGGCTGGGGTCCCCCCCCTAGAAAAAAATCAAAATTTGAAAATAATTTCCTGCCTAAAATATATAAAAAAATTCACTAACGCATAGGATGGACTTTTTATTTATTTTTTACAATAATGTCTAATAGTGTTATTGTATTACATTGCTCTGTTTTTATTTTCTTGTTTCATTGTATGTAATGGCACAGATTAGGGATTAATAAAGTACAACCATAACCACAATCATATAAACATAATCTATTTTATAGCAATATTTTGGGGGGGCATTTTGAGCATATTTGAATATTAGGGGAATGTGTCCCCCCCCAATATATTATAATATATTATAATTACGGCCTTGCATGGCATCCTCTCGCCATGCGAGAGGATGCCATAAACCTTGCGTGTTGACGTTTCGCCAAGATAAAAAAAAGGGGGCGAGCTTCTAATATTTGCCTGTTGCAAGTAGCCATGGCGACTGAAACGCAAGATACAAAAAAAACTATTTAAACCGCGTGTTGACTTGGCCTATCCAGCGTGTTGGTATCGGGGCAACCCGAGTTTTCTCTCGCCCCCCCCACCACCGTCATATCACCTACACTGGAGGTTGATTCGCCCCGTCAACAAGAAATATGACCATTGCCAGTTGTATGCAAACAGGATTTGTGTGTATGTGTGTCTGTGTGATGAGAGTGGGAGTGGTGGTGCAGCGGTTAGCGCGCAGCCCTATGAACCTGGCGACCCGGGTTCGATTCCCGCTCACGGCGAACACCGGTGGTGACGATGATTATCTGAGCCAGTCCTGGGCCTCCCCTAGGTCGCCTCAGCCTCAAATGAGTACCCGGTGCGATGTGCGAACATCGCCGCTAGGGAGACAAAGGCGGCCGGGCGTGGTGTTGGCCACCCACCAACTCGTGTGCCGTGTCGGTCTTTATAGGTGCTGCTCGCTAACAGCACTTGCCCCTACAGTCTGTTACAGGCTACACGGGGGATCTTTTTTTTTGCA